TCGACCCTATTTTGGATAGGTATGTGCCGCCAGCAGTCTAAATCCCTGACCCTGTTTATTTTTTTCTAGTGTCTTAAAAGACACTAGTAAGTGGAAATCCATACCCTGGCCAGCGGCACGTCCCCGTATAGCAAATGTATGGGAGTACCAACCCCAGTGAAAATCACTTCAAAATGACTTATTTTCTGTGAGAGAAATTGACAGGCATATAACTGGGGTTCATTTCAGTTGGTGACAGTCAACCTGCACTGCTATTGATACAGTCTGCAGTTGACAGGAAAAATCACAATTTTTTTTTGTTTATAGTCATTAGGCCTGGGTGGACCTGATAAAAGTTTCTTGTACAAGTGTGCCGTAGTTTTTGGTGGAATCTACTTTTTCTTTCTACTTGAGTAYATCATGAAACTTTACATAAGGCACAAGGAAGGTATCGTGAACGAAGGGCTGGGCTGTTGTCATGGTCACTCTCATTGCATGACATTAAATCAAAATGTAAGTATGATTTAATAATAATTCTAGAACTCATTAATAATTCATGAGCTATTAGTGCAATGAGCATCAAACTATTGGTCACATGATGGGCTTTTATATCCCGATAAAGCACTGATGTTTTATTAAATAATGAGCTCTATATCAGATATAAAGAACTGATGTTCAAGGTCATCAGTGTGTTATCACAACCCTACACTAGCAAAGGTCTCAGTTTAAATGTCGCATCATAGACCTTTGCTAGCTTTTAAATCTGTTTAAATCAATGTGCAGAGTCATGTACTTTGGTATAGACTAGGCAACCACTCTTCCATGTGGGATCAAAATTCTTTCAATTTTGGCACAATGCACATTGCTCATTTAGTTGCCTACAGCTTGAATCTAATAATATATCCTGATAAAACACGCACTCTCGTTCTATAAAAAAAATAGAGAGACCAAAMAAGCCAATATGGCTGCCATACATCAAATTCTTTACATTTGAAAGTAACATCGCAACATTTTTGTATAATAATTCTACAAAAAACAACAACATTGCTTCACAAAAAAATGGCTACTGTTTGTCTGAATAGTCATGTATGATTTTATTCAATCATGAGAAAGGAGCTGATTATATGTAAATTTATATATTATGTATTTTTTAAATTATTAAAAATGACCCATATAAGTTGCACTAATTGACTTCGCTTGATGACTAATCTCAGGTCATTTGTCTATTTTTTTCTATAAATATTTAAGCTTTTTGTTTAATTAAGGTTAAAAGTGAGACTCCAGGGAAAGATATGAATTCTGTGCCACTCAAACTCCATGTGTACAATGAGGAGGACCCTGAACACGGCCATACTTCATGTGGACTCAAAATCGACAGCAAACTAAAACGAAAGCCYGAAGCAAACGCCATSARSTACTCTCAAACTATGAAGYTCTCAGACTCCAATTCAGAGGAATCCATTTCTATTAAAGARCCACTGAAGCCAGAGGGGAAAGAAAAGMAGCGCATTGCTCCWGTAGCTTGGATGATTATTATTGGAGACACTGTACATAATTTAATCGATGGTCTAGCCATAGGTGCAGCATATTCTACCTCTGTGTACAGTGGTMTAAGTACAGCTTTGGCTATATTTTGTGAAGAGCTACCACA